GAAAGAGAGAGAGAGAAAGTGAGCATGAGCAGTGGTAGGGGCAGAAGGAAAGGGAGAAGCAGACTCTCCTGGTAAGCAGGAAGCTCGACGTGGGGTTGATCCCAGGACTCTGGGATCATGACCTGAGGCAAAGGCCGATGCTTAACCCACTAAGCGGCCCAGGCGCCCCTCTTATAAAATTTTTATGGCTTAATTTTTCACATTTAAATCTTTGATCCATTTGAGGACTATCCTAATGTAAAGTATGAGGTATGGATTCAACTTTACCTTTTTCCAGATGGCTCCCCAGAAATGTCAGCATCAATTATTGAATAAACTATCTTTTCACCACTGGTCTGAGATGCAATCTTTATAATATGCCAATTCCTATTTGTTCAAGAAATATTTAGTACTTCCTATGTGACAATCATGGTGCTTGAGATATACCGGGGAGGGGGGAAGACTAAAATTTCCCACCCTTATGAAACTTACATTCTAGCAGGGGAAAGTAGACAAAAAACATGGTAACTGGGTAAATTATACATTATGTTAGAAGATAAAAGAAGAGTAGAGTAAGAGGGTCTGACAAAGTGAGGGGTGAGGCAGTTGCAACTTTACAAAGGATGGTCAGGAAAGATGTCACCGGAGAGGTGATATTTGAAAAAAAGACTTGAAAAGTTAGCAGTACAAAGGCCCTAAGGCAACAGTGTGTGTGGCATGTTCAAGGAAGAAGAATGTGACCACTGTGGCTAGAGTGGAATGAGCAAGGGGTAGAAAAGTAAATGATGAAGTTAGAGGGGTAACAGGCCCAGATTCCGTAGGACTGTCTGGGCCATCATGAAGACTTTGGCTTTCACTCTGAGTGAAATGCGAACCATGCATTTTGAGCACAGCAGTGACATGATCTGATTTACTATTACCCTGCCACTTCCTGGGCTACATCTTTTTGAAATCACCTTTTTGCTTCCTTTGCCTTTACCACTCTTGCTAATCTCTGCTGTTTCCCAAAGCAAAGCCCTCAAATCCACCTATTTTTCTCCACCTTCTAGTTTTAAGCTATTATTTTCTATCATATACAATATGGCAGTAGCTTCCTAAGTGGATTTCTCCTCCTTCCTTTCTTGCTGCTCACAAATTCACTTGTCATATAACACACACCTGGGTGATTTTTTTTTTTTAAGATTTTATTTATTTATTTGACAGAGCAGGAGGGAGAGGGAGAGAGAATCTGAAGCAGACTCCACGCTGAGCACAGAGCCCAATGAGGGGCTTGATCACACGACCTCAAGATCACGACCTGAGCTGAAACCAAGAGTCGGACACTTAACCAACTGAGTCACCTAGGCACCTCACACCTGGGTGATTTTTAAAGTAGAATTCAGTTAATTTTTATTTTACTATCCTGCTTAACTTCCTTGCAAGGCTTTCTACTACATTTAGAATAAAACCCAAGCTTTTCTTCATGGCCACAAGGGCCTGTATACTTAGGCCATGCATACTTCCCCAAGCTTATCTCAAGTCATTCTCTCCCTTCCTCCATTCCAACAATGGTGGCCTTTTAACTTCTTAAATATACCCATGGTTTTTACACATAATATTTACCACATGCCTAAAATGCTTTTTTTCCCCACTTAGTTTTTATAACTCTTATATATCCTTCACATCTGACCTTAAATTTCACTTCCCTACAGAGTTTCTTCCCTGATTCTCTAATGCACATTCACAGCACCTTATTCTTATTTTGTGTAATAAACACCTTAATTTGCAATTCTTACTATATTTGTTGAGTGACTGTTTCTGTTACACTATAAGCAACTTGGATTTAGGGATACCTATTTTGCTTACTGATGTATATCTGATGGAAAGAACAATTTCTGGCACGTTGTAGCTGCTCAAAAAATACTTGTTGAATGAACCATCTTCTTTCTTAACATAATAAGTCATTCTGGAGAATTAAAACAAACTCCTCTGGCTAGAATGCCAAGAAGCAGATATATCACTTTAGTTCTTGATGTCTTTCTAGTCCTGTCTGTGGGGAGTCTTATAATTAAGAGTAAACTGAATAAATCTATTCCCTGCAACCCAAAGATCCCAAAGCAGTAACATTCCAAATAAATGCTCAACTCGAGCTGACAGTCTCCTTATTGTCCCTGCTCTTGCATAAATTTTATTTCCTGTCTGCAATGGCCCCGTCTTCTTTAATCTTCAAATCTAACCAGTATCAGCACAAATTCAAACTCCACCTTCTTTACGAAGTCTACCCTCATCCTTCTAGTCTCAATAAAATTTCTCCTTTCTCTGAGTACCTCTTGTATTTGTTGTATTTTGTATTCTTAGTAGCAGTCCAACATTACATTTTTTTAAATGTTGTGTGGTTTAGGTGTGTAAAAATCTTCTCCGATGAGTTTATTGGCTACCTACAGATAATGTTTATCTCATATAATTTGGAACAAGAGATGTCCTCCTATTTGAAGCAACTGATACTAGTATCTGGTGTGTTAAGCTAAAAAGCTAGTTAAAGTTGAGATCCATAGAAGATATCTTAAACATTTTAATTTGAAATATATAATTGTATATTCATGTGCTCATCTTTTGATGTGAAATGAAACCTTTTCTGAGAGTGATTTTAATGATCATATGTCCATACCTATAATGCATCAGTTTCTGTTTCATTAAAATGCAACAAGCAAGGGACACTTGGGAACTAATATAGGTGTAGAATCCTCTAAGATTTTTATGATTTTCCTTCAGTGTGTTACAGTTTGCTCACACATAATTTGATAGCAATTTTTTAGAAAGTGACTGGCATTTATAAGGTCTTTCCAAAGCATTCAACTAGTTTTCACAGAAACAACTCCTCGTCATAGTTCTACCTCATCAGCTTACATAAATACTTAATCAAATTATAGAACAGTAACAATAGGCTTAAACAGGTTTTGCAAGAGGTACAACAGATTCTTGATAAACATTAACTCCTGGCAGATGTCCTCAGGCATATTTAATAATGCCATTAGCTCCAAGCAGTCATTGTGACCTGGGCATCACTGATTGTTTACAGAGAGAACGGCAAGTGTTGTTTAAAGTCTGGTGAGTTGTTTAAGTGATGGGTGATCAAAAGATAGTCTATAGTTTCTTTTGTTTCTTATACAATATCTAGCCCAGACATGAGCCCATGATCTGTTAAAAATGCTGGAAGGAGAGAAGAGCTATAAAGGGTATATAAGGTGAATGGGAAACATCCTATAGAAATTATCTGTCCCAAGAGTCTAAAGGGCTCTGGATTCACTTCTGAGAATTGAAAAATAAAAGTACCCATATTCTTAGAACTGTAACAGCATTTCAGAGAGTAAAACTGAACTTACCTGAGACCTGACTATCTGTGATCCATCACTCATTTCTTTCTCCTCCATGTTCCCCCCTTGGGAAAGTATAGCATTGTGAGAGGGCATAACTGGGAAAAAGAAAAAAGAAGCATCTGGTAAATACATGGTAATAATGCTGAAACTAACTCTTAGAATTTTTGTTTCCTGTTAGAATGGCAGACAGTTTAGAGAGAAGCCCTTTAGGACATAAGCTTAAAGGCTGGATAACTTATTGAGGAATTCAATGTAAGATTTTCTCTTTCTCTTATTGTGGCATATGGGAAGCTCAAGAAAGCTCAGTGGTTTTTAGCCCTGACTACACAAACTGGGTTTTGTTTTTTTTTTTAAGATTTTATTTATTTGACAGAGAGAGACACAGTGAGAGAAGGAACACAAGCAAGGGGAGTGAGAGAGGGAGAGGCAGGCCTCCCGCTGAGCAGGGAGCCCGATGCGGGGCTCCATCCCACGACCCTGGGATCACGACCTGAGCCAAAGGCAGACGCCTAACGACTGAACCACCCAGGCGCCCCAACCTAGGGAATTTTTTTTAAAAATGCCAATGCTCAGCCCCTATTCCCCGAGATTTGTTTTTTTTAATTTTTATTTAAATTCTAGTTAGTTAACATATAGTGGGATATTGGTTTCAGGAGTGGAATTCAGTGATTCATGACTTACATACAACATCCAGTGCTCATCATAACAAGTGCCCTCCTTAATACCCATCACCCAACTAGCCCAGAGATTTGGATAAATCCAGTATTATACAAATTGGTCTGGGGTGGGCCTGGGAAACAGCATTTTAAATTCTAAAGTCTCCAAGTGATTCTAAGTAGGAAATGAGAACTACTGAGATGAGCTGATACAGAAAACATGTTGAGGACTAATCTTATTCTTTTTTTTGTTTAAAGATTTTATTTATTTATTTGAGAGAGAGAGAATGAGAGAGAGCACATGAAAGGGGGGAGGGTCAGAGGGAGAAGCAGACTCCCTGCTGAGCAGGGAGCCCGATGTGGGACTCGATCCAGGGACTCCAGGATCATGACCTGAGCCGAAGGCAGTTGCTTAACCAGCTGAGCCACCCAGGCACCCGGGACTAATCTTATTCTTTAAGGGGATAAATTCATCCCCAAACTCAAACTCCAGAGATCTTCTTTCCTTTACTCTTTTTAAGATGATCTAATAATACACAAAGGAGATGTCACTCTTTTCATTTTTCAGAATGTTTACCTTCTTTTTTGAGTACCTGGATTCAGTCCTCCACCAGGATTACTACACCTCTTTGCAGTTCTTAAGTTGTAATATAACCAAAGCTTTGCTCTCTTCTAGAAGGACATCAGTAGATACACTATTACTAACAGCTTCAGTGTCCTTGTCAGTCCCTGAAAGCTGATTTTCCAGTGCCTTATGGAGAATAGTCACTCTCAGGTATTAAAGGTGCCTCATCTCTGATAGAACCTCAGGAGCCAATGGCTATCCACAAGAATGATTTCTGCTTCTCAGGGGCAGCCACTCTCAGAATCTTGCTTTGTTCATGCAGAATTGAGATGTGGCGGTTCCTGAAGGTGGCTATTACTTTTTTTCCCCTAAAGGCATCAATCCTTCACGTACAGACTTCACTATGATATTCGAATGTCTCTCCTGGCAGGGATCTTGTAAGATACAATATCAGATTGAGCACCTGTAATGAGATGCACCAGTCAACAAAAGAAATCCAGCAGCCTCAGTCACCTCGGGACCTAGAAAGTCTGTAAAGAAACATATAAACTACCCATTCATAAAGATAGGGCACGCTACGGTATAGAATTCTTTAAAAACAGTCAAAAAGCATTTTTAGAATTTCTCAGATTCACACATTACAAAAAGCAGAGATGTACAGATCCATCAGCTACAATAAACTTTAGCCTCAGTTCTTACCCACCTTCTCAGAAAAAAAAACATGTGGTCCTTCCTTAGTGAAAGATTTTCAGAAAGACTTTCACCAAAATTAACAAGAGAGTAAAATGTATTGAGTTGCTAATAAACATGGGAGAATACATTCTTTTTCTTTTCACAAAGCTTGGCCTGGAAAATTTCTCTCAAAAGTTAGTAATGGAACTGAATAATGAAGTCATTCCTGAGAAGCAATTTTTTTAAAAAGAGAAGATCACAGTTCCAGTGGAATTGTCCTATTAGTTGAGGAAGCCATTCACTGCTCAAGATATGGCATGAATCCAAAATTTTACAACCAGCTGACTAAGAAGCAGACCTTTCAGGAGTAATTTAGAAGCACTTTAAGAAGCAGGTCCTATTTCACCAAGCAAAGGTCTAAAAAGGTCCTACTCTCTAAAGAGACAGACAGAATCTATGTGAATGCTCTGACGTTTCAAACCCAATCACCTCAAAACCACCTATTCACAACCAAAAAAACCCTGCATTTACGAAGTTAGGCAGTACAGGGTTTCTCCTTCATATGTGTAAACCCAAGGAGATGAGGACTGTGTCAAATATATTATATATTCTATGCAAATTTTGTTATTTGAGAATTTTTTATGGCATCTGGTGGGACTAGGGTTCCAAAGAACACATCTTTGGAAACACTGATTTAGTTCTCAGTTTTTTGGTTTAATGAAGGATTCTAAAACTGAAGATCCCCTGGTTCACAGCCCTAGGTTCCTTCTAGTATACTTTGAAGTTCTTCTTAGCACTTGTTCTCTACCATTTTTTTTTAAGATTTTATTTATTTATTTGAGAGAGAGTGAGAGAGCACAAGCAGGGGGAGCGACAGGCAGAGGCAGAGGGAGAAGACTCCCCGCTGAGCAGGGAGCCTGATATGGAGCTCTAGGCGACCCTGACATTTTGACCTGAGCTGAAGGCAGATGCTTAACTGGCTGAGCCACCCAGGCACCCCTCTACCATTTTTTAAATCTGATCTCCTTTCTTCTCATAATTTCCCTTTTAATTCCTGTATTGGAAAGATACATACACAAAATCGCCCAAAACCAACCACTCCCCACCCCCAAACAGTGTGTAATTTTTCATACAATACACACATAGACTTTTCCAGAGAAGCCTGTGGGATTACCACAGGCTTTTTCAAATAAGTAACCATGATGGCTTGGAAAGTAACAAATTCCCTTGACTGCCTAAGGAATACCAGATGAAAAATGACTTTGGACTTAACACCCTTCCCTCCAAGCTCTTCCAAAAATCTGAGTGAACTTTATCGACCGTGTAGAAAACTTCTTCTGTAGTAGTTCTCAATCAGGGCCGTGCATTAAACTCAGCCCAGATTTTAAGTTATACATATGTAAATGTATACATGTCTAGGCTCCACCCAAGAGCTACTAAACCAGAATCTGTTGAGATGAAGTCTGGCATCTACACATTTTTTTAAAGTGCCTCACAAGTGATTCTGATGCAAGCAGGAATTCAGAGCAACTATCAGAGCCTCTCATCTCCTTAACTTCCTCAATGCCAATGATTTTCACCTTCATTCTATTTCAGTCACCTACTTCCAGTACCACAGCACTTTTGAAGTCTTTTCTTACCTTATAAAACACTAGACTATGAATCAGGAGACCTTAGGTTCTGGACTGGATAGATGGGTAAGGAAATGAAGACAGGCATGGCTTAATATAATGGAAGAATAGAAAAAAGAGCAGTGTTTGTCATAGTGTAGTCTGAAGATCACTTGAATCATGCCATTTGCTGAAAAGCAGATTCACTGGTCCTATCCCAGACGTAATGAAATAGCATCTCTGGGGGGTATTCCTGGCCCAGGGACTTGCTTTAAGAAGTATTTCTTCCCTGGAATCAGACCTTTCTCTCTAGACTGACTACAGGCCCGAATCTAGCATGTATCTTCTCATTCCTCTATCTTCAACTTTATCTGTCACTTTTATTCACTCCTTCCTGTCATAATTTAAAACCTTTTACTATATCTCCCAACATTAATAACTTTCGCTGACTATGTGCCCATTTGTAACTACCATCCATTCTTTTTACAAGGCTACAACTCTTCAAAGGATTGTCAATACTTGTCTCTACTTCCTCATTACCTATTTATTTTTCGATTATCTATGACCTTTCCTCTGTTCTGCTATCAGCACACCACTGAAACTGCTCTGGGTAGGAATACCAAAAACCCTGATGTTGTTCAAGCAATGGAGTTCGTTACTTCTTTTTTTGTTTTTTTAAAGATTTTATTTATTTATTTGACAGAGAGAGAGAATGAGAGCAGGAACACAAGCAGGGGGAGTGGGAGAAGGAGAAGCAGGCTTCCCGCTGAGCAGGGAGCCTGATGTGGGGCTCGATCCCAGGACCCTGGGATCATGACCTGAGCTGAAGGCAGACGCTTAACGACTGAGCCACCCAGGCGCCCCTGGAGTTCGTTACTTCTTGAGCTCTGATGGGTATCTGACACTGTGGACAACTGTGTTTTGCTTTATGTCCACCGTCTTTCTCAGTGAGCTATGCACTAGTCCCTTTTCCTCTGCTTATCATTTACAGATTGTTGTTTCTTAGGATTTTCCATTATCTATTTTTGTTCCCTCCACAGGTGAAGTAAAGGCATCTTTACTTGTAAAGTATACAAACCTGATCACATCAGTCCTTCACTTTGAAATTCTTTAGTGGCTCTCTACAGTTCTTAGGCTGGAGTACAAGGCCATAAAAAATCCTGTGACCGCTTCCTGACTTCTCAAGCCACTCTCCTGCTTGTTTTTAAGGCTTCATTTACCCTGTTCTGCTTTTAAGTCCTTAAGTGTGCCATATCTCCCCTGCCCCTCCTCTCCAGATGGTACTTACTCTTCCTTCAGGTCTCAGCTTAAATCAAGGAAGATTTTGGTATCACAGACCAAGTGAGGTCCCTCATTGACATCTTCCTGTTTTTGCTAGCACTTTTTATCATTGTAATTATTTGTATAGTCATTATTTTTATTTATACCTCACCACTGTGTGATGTTAACCTCCATGAAGGCAGGAAGCTATAGTAGGTACTCAATAATATTTGCTAAGTGAGTAAATAAAACGGTTCTGGTGTTTACTCTTCTATTTTTTAATTTTTTAACTTTTTATTTTGAACCAATTTTAGACTTATAGTAAAGTTGCAAAAGCAGTACACAATTCCCACATACATTCCACCCCACTTGTCCTAATGTTAATGTTTTATAAGACCAGGGTACAATAATCAAAAGCAGGAACTTAAATTGGTATAATACTATTAATTCAAACTATTCAAAATTTACCAGTTTCTCCACTAATATTTTTTCTCTGATCCAGGATCTCACATGGCATTTAGTTGCTTTTTTCCCCCTTGGTCTTCTCCAATCTCTAAGTTCCTCAGCCTTTCTGTCTTTCATGAGCTTACTACTTTTGAAGAGTACTGATGAGTTATTTTGCAGGGTCCCTTAATTTGGGTTTGTCTGATGTTTTCTCATGATTGGAAAGAAGTTAAGTATTTTTGGGAATATCACAGAAGTGATTTTGTATCTTTCTTAGTGCATCATATTCATGGGTTTATGATGCTGATATGCCTCATTAATGATAATTTTAACCTTTATCACTGGGTTAAGGTGGTGTTTACCCCGTTTCTCCATTGTAAAGCTACCATCTTTCTCTTTGCAGCTAATAAATATCTTGGGGAGATACTATACAAATATCTGGATTCTTCTCAAACCCACTAATTTTGTTTTATTTTCATTTTTTTAGTTTGCCTTAAGTTTTATTTATTTAAAATTTTTTAAGTTAACATATAGTGCAATATTGTTTTCTGGAGTAGATTTCAGTGATTCATCACTTACATACAACACACGATGCTCCTCACAACAAGTGCCCTCTAATACCCATCACCCACCTAGCCCAACCCCCACTTACATCCCTCCATCAACCCTTAGTTTGTTCTGTCTTTAAGAGTCACTTATGGATTGCTTCTCTCTCTCCTTTTTTTCTTTTCCCCCTTCCCATATGTTCATCTGTTTTCTTTCTTAAATTCCACATATGAGTGAGATCATATGTCAAACCCACTAATTTTAGCATCCATCAGTGTATCTTGTCTGCAACAATTAGTAATATGGTGTTTGCCTAATGGTGATTTCTCTATTTCTCTCTTTCCCACTAATTTATTAATTGGAATTTTTCTGTAAGGAAAAGCTGCTCCTTATCTCTTATCATTTATTTACTAATTTATTTATATCTCTATAAACTCATGAATATTTATTTTGTTTTATAAACTCCAATATTATCATTATTTATTTTATTGTACAAATTGTTTCAGTTTTGGCTAGTAGAAGGCTCCTATGTTATTTTGACTAGCCTCTATCCTATTTTGAGCACTTCCTGGCACCATAAAATGTTTCAGGCTCTTGTATTATCCCTGCCCAGCCCTGGAAATCAACTACCTGTCCAACAGCCAGAGCTCCTCTTATTGGAGAAATGCTTAGAAACAAAGATCTGAGTGCTAGGTGTGCTCACTGCTACTGGGGTATCATTGCTTCTAGGCCCTCTAGCAGAGATAGGAAAGATATATATGTATGCATATTAATCATACACATACATACTTCTATTGTGTTCATCTATGTATTAAATGCCATGAGTTCATACTGACACCTCTGATTCCAATCCAATACCTCAGGGCTCATTTTAGTCTTCTTCCTTTTGTCATTGGTAACTTCTTTCTTCAACAATAAAAAATTGTTGACTCTTAGTATCCACAATATATTTACTTATTTGTTCATTTTAGTATATATATGGTTTCAGAATTAACTCATATCCCTGTGAGAAACACATTTATTAACTTGATTACAGCATTTATGTGGAGTTCTCTTTGTCTTTAGTTATACAGTATCCAACCAAGA